GCCCAAGAGACAAAGAAGGCCACATAAACCAGAGACTGCATCAGCCTGAGACCAGAAGAACTAGATGGTGCCTGGCTACCACCGATTACCACCCTGACAGGGAACACAACAGAGAGTCCCTGATGGAGCAGCAGAAAGGTGGGGTGCAGAACTCAAATTCTAGTAAGAAGACCAGACTTAATGGTCTGAGATTGGAGGAATCCTGGAAAGCATGGCCCCTGGATTCTCTATCAGCCCAGAACTAAAACATTTCCAAGGCCAACTCTTCAGACAGGGATTGGGCTGGACTGTGGGACATAAAGTGATAGTCGTAAGGAGTGTGCTTCTTAGCTCAAGTAGATACAAGAGACTACAGGGGCAGCTTCTGTCCAGAGGTGACATGGGAAGGCAAAGAGGGTTAAGAGCTGGTTGAATGGACATGGGGAATCAGGGATGGAAAGGATGAGTGTGCTGTCACAGTATGGAGAGAGCAATTAGAGTCACATAACAATGTATGTATAAATTTTTGTATAGGAAAAAAATTTTTTTAAAAGAAGAAACAACATTAATAATAGAATTGGAGATATTCTGAGGGTTTCTATGCCAGACCCCGTATTGGGGCATCCTATGGGTTACTTCCTTTAGTCTCACATCAGTCTGATGAGGTAGGTGCCATGTTACCCCAATTTTAGGGGTGAGGAAACAAACTCAGAGAAGTCAAGTAACCTGCCCAAGGCCACACAGCTAGGAAGGGGGAGAGCCAGAATTTGAACCTAGACCTCATGGCCAGATGAAAATCCATTTTCTGTGTAATCCTGTGTAACTGTATCTGAAGTTGCCAGCTAAGTGATTCAATGCTCTTTGTCGAATAATCCATGGGAAAAAAAGTCCTTCTGTAATTTGGTACCAAGAATAGTGTTGTTAGCTGACCTCAAGTTGGCCCGTGACTCATAGTGACCCCACCATGCACAACGGAACGAAACACTCCCAGGCCTGCATCATCCCCGTGATGGGTTGTGGATTGGACTGTTGTGGTTCATAAGGTTTTCACTGACTGATTTTCTGAAGGAGATCGCCAGGTCTTTCTTCCTAGTCCGCCTTGGTCTGGAAGCTCTGCTGAAATCTGTTCAGCATCAGAGCAACACGCAAGCCTCCACTGACAGACATATGGTGCCTGTGCATGAGGTGCATTGGCCGGAAGTGGAACCTGGGTCTCCTGCATGGAAAGCGAGAATTCTACCACTGAACCATAGTACCTTTTCCGAAGAGTGACATACATGGCTTGTTTTTTTCTCTTGGCTAGATTATAATTTGTCTAAGGCAGGACTTGTTTTACCATTCTTTATATTTGTCCAAATACTGCAGTATTTAGCAGGTGCCAGGAATGAACCCTAATTTCCTTCCTAACCTTCCGTAAGGAAATGGAGTCACAGCTTGCGCCGTCCTACCTTGAGGCAGTTTTAGCATCTAGAGACTGGGTGGGCTTGTAAGGCTGGCCACAGCCGGGGCTCGGGTCCAGGCTGGGTGACTTGGTTATTGGAGGGGCGTTGATCCTGGAGCTCAAATCGCCACTCAGAAAGTTCTTTGCGTAGGAGGCGAGGTTTGGCACACTGACCACGCGGCTGGGCACTTCCTCCATCTTCTTCTTCTGTTTGTATTAAAGGAAAGATCTGTGAGTCCCACCCAAAAAAAAGGCATTATTGTAAAAGTAAATAAGGTCTACCCAACCGAAATTATATGGGGAAGGTGGTGTTATGGATGGAATTGTGTCCCCCATAAAAGAAAGTGGAGGTCCTAACCCAGGGATTATTTCCTATGGGTCATTTTTCAGTAACGGTACTCTGAATGTCCACCAGCCCATCAATAAGCTGCAGTTACCTTGAGGAAAAAGGAAATCAGCAGAATCATGGGACGCATTAAAACCAGTGGGACCAACTTACCTTCATGGAAGGGGTCAAATACCCCGGATGAGGATGGAAGGAGAAGGACCGATTCCGATGGGACACTGCGCTGGGGAATGCTGCATAGTGGAATCGTCTCTCCTCCTGCAAAACCAACACAATTGAGTCCAATCAGCTAAACATACAGCACTGGGTATGCGTGAAAGGAAGACATCTGTGAGGGCGAGATACAGAGAGAAGGAAAGTCCAGGGGCTGGAGAGGCGCCGTGCGAATCAAGCCGCCATCCCCTGAAGCTTTGAGGATGTACCTTTACCTCCTGGGGCTTTTGTGTTCCCACCCCCTCTCCAAAATAAAACCAAAAAACCAAACCAGTTGCCTCTGAGTCATTTCCAACTCACAGAGATCCCATGTGTGTCACAGTCAAACAGTGCTCCACAGGGTTTTTAATGGCTGATTTTTCAGAAGTAGATCACCAGGCCTTTCTTCTGAGGATCCTCTGGGTGGACTCAAAGCTCCAACCTTTGGGTTAGGGGCTGAGAGCATTAACCATTTGCAGCATCCGGTGACTTCCTCCAAAATAAAGGGTGAGCTTATTCGGGGTGCTCCAAGAAGTTAGCGATCCAGGCACTCATCATGAGGAGTGCGTCTACTGCAGAAAGTTAATATGTAAGGCAAAGAACGAAGGCCCTGTAGCACAAGGGATTCCATATTCCTTCCTCCCGGCCTTGCTTTGGTTTTACACTTGTATTGTAGACCTCTTCTAACATTCACAAAAGTAAAGAGAGTAATACAGTTCATCTCCCACGTCAACAATTACCACTATATGGTCAATTGCGTTTTATCTATGCTATCCCTCACTTTTTTCTTTCCTGCTCTATTATTTTAAAGCAAACTCCAGCCATCATCTAATTTCATCAGTAATTACATTCATAATATCACCAAGTGAGTCCCTGGGTGGTGCCAACAGTTGACAAACTTGCTACTAACTGAATGGCTGGCAATCTACTGCCAAAAAATCAGCCACTGAAAACCCTCTGGAGCACAGGTCTACTCTGACACACAGGTGGTCACCATGAGTGGGAACTGACTTAACGGCAACTGGTTTTACTGGTATCTCTAAGAGACAAGGACCCCTTTTTTAAAACATAACCACAACACCTTAATTACAATTAGCAAATGAGCAATAACCAGTTGCTGTCGAGTTGCTTCCGACTCATGGCGACCCCATGTGTTGGAGTGGAACTGTGCTCTAGAGGGTTTCCATGGCTGTGACTTTGCAGAAGCTCATCACCAGGCCTTTCTTCTGAGATGCCTCTAGATGGGTTCCAACCACCAACCTTTCGGGTGGCAGCCGAGCACTTTAACCACTGTGCCACCGGACTCCAAACAAGCAATCATTCCTTATTAATGCCACTGCATTTTCAGCCAGTGTTCAAGTTTTCCTGGCTGTCTCATTAATGTCTTGACATGAAAGAGTGTGGCCGGAACAGAGGTGGTGGGAGGAATGGCAGTGGATAGGAGAGGTGCATGTGTACTTGGCGGGCAGGGTGGGACACCACAGTAAGACTTTGTTGGCTTTTACTCCAAGGGAGATGGGAAGTCATGAGGCTGCTAACACAACCATGCTGGGACCTGACTTGTATTTTCATGAGGCCACTCTGGTGGCTGAAGCCCTGGTGGCGCAGTAGTTTAAGCATTCGGCTTCTAGCTAAAAGGTCAGCAGTTCGAATCCACCAGCCTCTCCTTGGAGACCCTATGGGGCAGTTCTACTCTGCCCTATAGGGTTGCTATGAGTCAGAATTGACTCAGTGGCAACGGGTTTGGTTTACTCTGGCTGCCGTGAGACCAACATAGTGCGGCGAGCTGGGAGCAGGGAGACAGGTTAATGGATACTTCTTGTTCTTGTGAGAGGTAATCAGACCTGGACCAAGCTGGTGGCGGCCAAGACGGCTGGAAGTGGGAGGACTTTGAACATGGCTCATTGGTTCCCGCCCTCGTGGGCCACACTGATAGGAGTGAATCCGTCACTCACTGTCCCCAGTGCTGAAGGTCAGACACTGGAGCTTGTCCTGGCTGACTCAGCTGGGGCATAGAAGGAACTTGCCGCCAAAAGCAATGGGAGGCTGGGGCTGGATGAGAGCCTAGAGCAGTGGTCAGTGTAAGAGGAGGGGTGGGCTGAGGGGTGGGTAGGAGGAGATGGCGAGGAGGGGCATCTCCAAGAAATACCCTTGCTGCCTTATGGACACAGAATCAGAGGCAGGTGGAGATGCTCTTCTGTTTAAGGGGTCCAGTGGTGCCATGGTTAAGTGCTTTGTTGCTAACTCAAAAGGTCAATGGTTTGAACCCACCAGCCGCTCCTTGGGAGAAAGATGTGGCAGTCTACTTCTATGAAGATCACAGCCTATAGGGTCGCTATTAGTCAGAATCAATGGCAGTGGGTATACGTGCATGTGTGTATCCAAAACAACACCAAACCCGCTGCCACCGAGTCAATTCTGACTCATAGCGACCCTATAGGACAGAGTAGAACTGCCCCATAGGGTTTCTGAGGCTGTAAATCTTTACAGAAGCAGACTGCCACATCTTTTTCCTGTGGAGCAGCTGGCGGGTTTGAACCGCTGACCTCCGAGTTAGCAGCGTGAGGACCTCAGTGCCCTGCCTGTGTGTGGCCAAGTCTGCCCAGGGCTCAGCCCGACAGCCTCACCGTGAGCTGCTTGATGATGTCCTCTCTCTCCTTTAGGCGGGTCTGCAGGCGGCCTATGAGCTGAAGGTCCTCAGGCCTGGACTCTCCCTTCCCCGGCTTCTCTCCGGATTCCTTGAGTCTGTTTTGAGCAGACATGCAGTTAGTGCCCTGATGACAATAACTCCACAAAGAGGAGGAAGACCAAGTGGACAAGATGGAGACACTCTTGTGCGCTTAGCCTGAGCAGGCATTCTCCGTTCACAAATGAGGAAACTGAGGCCCAGGGAACGGAAGAGTCCTGTTCAGGCCACCCAGGGAGTTGGCTGTAGAGGTTGGGGTGACACCTGGGACCCCAGCTGCTCAGCTGAGCTCTGTCAGCTCCCTCCAAGGCTGCAGGGCTAAGGAGCCTGGTTTTCTTTTTTAGGCTTTTAAAAAAAATCATTGAAAATATACCCAGCAAAGCATACACCAATTCAACACTTTCTACATCTACAATTCAGTGACAGTGATTACATTCTTCAAGTTGTGCAACCATTCTCACCGTCCTTTTCTGAATTGTTCCTCCCCCATTAACATAAATTCATTGCCCTCCAGCTTCCTATCTAAACTTTTGAGTTGCTGTTGTCAATTTGATCCCATATAGATAGTTTAAAAGAGCACAATGCTCAAGGCAGACATTCTTTACTAATCAAGCTATTGTTTAATTTTAAGGAGACTTCAGGGAATATTTTTGGTTTAAGCTTTAAGGGTTAAAGATTATCTCAGGGCAATAGTTTCAAGGGTTCATCCAGCCTCCATGGCTCCAGAAAATCTGGAGTCCATAAGTATTTGAAATTCTAGGCAAATATTCTTGACTAATTAAGCTAAACTATTGTTTAGTGGCTCAGTAGTTAAGAGCTCGGCTGCTAACCAGAAAGGTCAGCAGTTCAAATCCACCAGCTGCTCCTTGGAAACCCTACAGGGCAGTTCTACTCTGTCCTATAGGATCACCATGAGTCGGAATCAACTTCAAAGCCACGAGTTTTGGTTTTGGGTTTACTTTTTTTTTTTTTTAAAAATGATGTAATTAAATGAAGTTTACATTTCAAGTTAGTCTCCCATACAGAATTTTGTTTTTTTTAACATACATTGTTATGAGACCCCAACCACTCACCCCATTCTGTGACAGCACACTCCTCCCCTCCGCCC